TTGGAACATTGAAATGATTTCATTGTGTTGTTTTCCTCTTATTGGCCCGCCCTAAGCGATCGGTGTGATGCTAAGATTAGACGGAAGGAAGGTTCGAAAACCAGCCAAAAGACTAGAAAATGAAATCATATTGGAATAATAAATCAATTATTCGATGGTTTAACTTATAATATGACGGAAATTTTGCTTATTGATCGCATAAAAATAAAATATTGCGCAACTCGCAAAATGTCCGCGCGTACTATAAGTTAAACCATTCAGTTAGCTGTACTTTTTCGTTCTACGTACACTCAACAGGGAAGACTTTTTGCTTGAAGTAACGGAGGGTTACTTACTATTTTGGTTAGGTTGTAAAGCGCTAGCGGATCATGAGAAAGCTACGATTTAGCTCCAGAGAAAAGTGTTGGCTTCAAAAGTAAGACTAAAATACGTCGAGAAGAGTACGAATAAGAATTTATTGATATCTGAGCGATGTGTACGAATGGAAAAACAATAAGATATAAATTGACTCTACTAGTTTTTGACATTCGTGCTATTTTGATTTATCAATTGTGCACCGATTGTCTTTAGATCAATAAATGGTGTGATTTGATGGTTGAAAACTCACAGATATTAATAAGTTTAATTTACTGGTAAAGAGACTTAAAAAATGAGAAAAATGTCCACTGCTGACACCACCATCATCTGCAGCAGAGGCTCAAAAACTCATATATCCGAAACACGTTGTCTTACTTTTTTTTGAACTGGAAGTTCCTGCACTATAAGTCGCCGCCACAAAAACAATTTTGTTTTCTGTATTTGTACCCTACATGAATTTACATGATACAAAAAATATATATATATTACATAAAAAATGGAGACAGTTCAGGCTGCCCAAAATAACCATTGATAGGGAAGCCTTACTTAAGTAAAAATAAGAAAATATTATATTAAAGGATCAGGCATCACACTACACAAACCACAAAAACAAAAAGAAAGAAAGCTTGTAAAAAAGAAAGACAACGGAAGAAAGCTAAGTATGTCAGTATTTAACAACGGAATGCCAGATAAAAAAAAAGGTTTTGGTAAATCTGCAATTAATATCCAGAAATAAGAATTGAATCAAACTTTTTCTTAAAATGTTTGAGAGAAAGAGACGTACTATGTCATCACCTATATCATTCCAAACTTTAGCACCCTGGAACCTTGTGTCGAAAATTTTATAATTTGCTCTTGCTTTTGGGATAGCATAAGTCATCCTTGAAAACAGTATAGTGTTGTATCCATGTATGTTGTATCTATGAATGAAAAAGGGTATCAGAGAATGAGGGTAAAAGTTTATGATGGAACTTATACATAAACACTGCATGTTGAAGGAGCTATGATATCACACAGCTTGACCACATTCCAGTCTTAAAATAAAGGACTTGAGTGTTCAGCGAAGCTGGAAAAGGTTATTATTTTTCTAGATTTCTTTTGTACTGTAAATAGAGGTTGCACAGTTGACTAATAGGCATAACTCCAAGCAATTATACAATAATTTAAGAATGGCCCTCTTCAGGTATAGTACAGGCTTAGCAACGTTTTTGTGTTTAGGAAGTAACAAAGCCTAGGGAGAATACCTACTCTTCTGTTGATTTTATTTAGCAACATAGGTAATGTGGGTCTTCCAAATAATATTTGAATCTATATCAACTCCAAGGTATCTTATGGAAGTTTCTTCTGTTAATGATTGATCATTTATAAATAGCATAACCTTTTTGGGAATTCGTTTTTGTACTAGGTGAAGAATAGCAAAATTTGATTTTTTAATATTTACTGAAAGCTTATTTACAAATAGCCAAACATGTACTTTTCCAAGTTCACTGTCAATTTCACTTTCAAGTATGTTTAGGTCCTTATACTTAAAAAATGAACTTGCTTCATCTGCAATAGGTGAAAATCCAATAATTTTGGGAAACTGTGAAAGTCATTTATATAAATAAGGAAAAAGAGTGGCCCCAGTACTGATCCTTGAGGCACCCCACAAAATACTGTATGCATTTCAGAAATAACGGAACCAAGTGATACTGTTTGAGTTTTGTTGCTCAGATATGAGCTAAACCAGTCTATAACAACACCACTGATGCCATAGTATTCAAGCTTTGTGAGAAGAATACTTTTCTGAAGTCTTGGAATGTTCTGCAAGAGTAATCATGGCCTTTAGTAGCAGGATATAAATAGATCGCCATACAGATATTCCATTTTACGATAAAAATAAGTAGTAGCAAAGGTAATGAACGCTCTTACTTCCCTCGAGAGATGAAAATTAAACTGATTGAAGGTCTTTCACTCATTTATATGCATCGCAACATTACTGGGCTATATCAAGTTTTACAGACAAAATGCTCTTTCAACAAAACTTTAATTCCTCTTGAGTTATCGGTATCACTTTTGTCAGTTCACTTGTGGTCAACAAAAGCTGGTGCAAGCTTAAAAACTAACCGCAGTTCAGATCAGGGCCCGGAAAAATATCACGCAACTCGCAAAATATTCGCTTCCATCTCACGTTAAACCATCGAATAAGTTTTATTTAGTCCACACAACTTCTACAATCGATATCTCGCTTAAAAAACAGCATAAATATTTTATCTGTTTTAATTGGCGCATGAAGAGAGGTAGAGACACAAGAGCCAAATGAGCTTAGTGCAGTAAAAGGAAAGAATAAAAGGAATACCTTGTATGGCTCGGTCCATTCTTCTAAACCCAGCAGGCTTCTTCACAAAGTAATCACCTGCTTGCATGCATACTTCCTTATAAGGCCCTGACCACATTAATGCGTTTTCAAAAGTTTTTTCATTTGTATATCGGCATAAGTAGAAACAAAGGTAATGAACGCTCTTATTTCCCTCGAGAGATGGAAATTAAACTGATTGAAGGTCTTTCACTCATTCATATGCATCGCAACTGTACTGGGCTATACACAAGTTTTACGGACGAAATACTCTTTCAACCAAAAAATGAAATTCTTTGAATTTATCTGTATAACTTTTGACAGTTCATTTGTGGTCAATAAAAGCTGGCGCAAGCTTAAAAACTAAATGCAGTTCAGATCAGGAGACGGAAAAGTCCGGCGTAAAAGGCGTACCTTGTATGGCTCGGTCCATTCTTCCAAAACCCAGCAGGCTTCTTCAAAAAGTAATCACCTGCTTGCATGCATACTTCCTTATAAGGCCCTGACCACATTAGTGCGTTTTCAAAAGTTTCTCCGTTTGCGTATCGGCGAAAACGAAGCGAAATATTTCTGCCTACATAATTTTTTTCCAGCCTCTTCACTTTTCCATACTAAAACGCCCGAAAACGTCTGCAAACGAATGGGGCCTGCTTCAGTTACAAATCCGTGCTTTTGGTAAATTTAAATAAATACGATAACTTTTAAAACAGTGATGAAAAGGCTGATCTTAGGAAGAATTGCAAAGGAAAGCGCTGCGAATTTATGGCTTTTTATTGATCTCAACCTGGCAGTTATCTGCCTCTTTGATAATAGATCTCTGAATCAAAGGATTTGTAACTACAATTTCAACCGTCTTTAATAAAACAGCGCCGCGGCTATTTTGCGTAAGTTTCCAGAATATTTACGAAGCTGCCTCGCTGTCTCGAATTTTCGGTGACGTTTCGGAAGGAAAGAGGCTGCCATATCATTTTCTTTATATTGCCGACTTGGTTTATGACAACTCTAAAATCGATATCCTCCTGCTCTGAAAGGGGGTTTGTGTCTGATTGGCGCTTGAAGAGATGTACAAACTCAAGTGTTGAGTGAGCTCAGGTGCGAGATGATCATAGCTTGTTGTTAAACAACTATCAATGTTAGCAAAATGTTTGAGTATCAAATTACTAAGACGATTCTAAGAAACAGTCAATGGCCATAGTGGCACAAGATTTTGGGGAATTATTTTCAAAGCAGTTAATACGATGAATAATTTACCGTTGTGTTTCGGAGTAGTTTAGGTTAAGTTTTTTCTATATTTGGATTCCTAGCAACACTTCACTCAATATGGTCAGACAGAAAAAGGTAAAAACTTATCAACAAGGAAATGAGTTCGTCACATTCCCCTCACACTAACCCTTTTTTCCTGAGGATAAGACTGAATGTTTCTGCATTCACCAGAGATTTAGATATGATCGATATATCGCTTAAAAAACAGCATAAATATTTTATCTGTTAGAACTGGCGCCTAAAGAGAGGTAGGCAAGGCATCCTTTGTATGGCTCGGTCCATTCTTCTGAACCCAGCAGGCTTCTTCATAAAGTCATCACCTGCTTGCATTGCCGATTTGGTTTACGTCATTCCAAAAAAGGAAGGTCCTTGTTTCCACTAATAGAGACCAATCAGATTTGTCTTCTGCCACTCTTTTATAATTCTTTATTGGTGGAAACAATTTTTGCTCTTGTTTTTGCAGCGTCATCGGCTAGTTGGATCATCCCAAAAAAGGAAGGTCCTTGATTCTTCTTAGAGTCGTCTTAGTAACTCAGACACAAACGCCCTTTCAGAGCGAGAGGATATCGATTTTAGAGGTGTCGTAAACCAAATCGGAACCGCTGGGTTCAGAAGAATGGACCGAGCCATACAAAGGATGCCTTGCCTACCTCTCTTTAGGCGCCAGTTCTAACAGATAAAATATTTATGCTGTTTTTTAAGCGATATATCGATTTTGGAAGTTACGTTGACTAAATAAACCTTATTAGTTGGTTTAACGTAAGATGGACGCGAATATTTTGCGAGTTGCGTGGTACTTTTCCGGGCCTTGATCTGAACTGCATTTAGTTTTTAAGCTTGCGTTAGCTTTTATTGACGACAAGGACCTTCCTTTTTTGGAATGACGCAGCTAGCTGATGACGCAGCAATAACAGGAGCAAAAGCTGTTTCCACTAATAGAGAATTATAGAAGAGTGGCAAAATACAAATCTGATTGGTTCATCATGGAAACTTGAATGGAACTTATTAGAATGCTCTGGAATAATCAATAAGTTTAGCGATATCTCTTCAAGCGGCTGGTCGGTTCATACAAGGCAGCTGAGTTGCGGAGCAGAACCTCATCAAACACCAGGTTTGCAGAGACTTTGCTCTATTACCCTACAGCTAGTTTTTAAGCTTGTGCCAGCTTTTATTGACCACAAATGAAGTAACAAAAGCGATGGTAAACTCGAAAGTATTCTAAGAGAGGTAACTGACAAACGCATTTTTATCTAAATCTCTGGTGAATGCAGAAACATTCAGTCTTATCCTCAGGAAAAAAGGGTTAGTGTGAGGGGAATGTGACGAACTCATTTCCTTGTTGATAAGTTTTTACCTTTTTCTGTCTGACCATATTGAGTGAAGTGTTGCTAGGAATCCAAATATAGAAAAAACTTAACCTAAACTACTCCGAAACACAACGGTAAATTATTCATCGTATTAACTGCTTTGAAAATAATTCCCCAAAATCTTGTGCCACTATGGCCATTGACTGTTTCTTAGAATCGTCTTAGTAATTTGATACTCAAACATTTTGCTAACATTGATAGTTGTTTAACAACAAGCCATGATCATCTCGCACCTGAGCTCACTTAACACTTGAGTTTGTACATCTCTTCAAGCGCCAATCAGACACAAACCCCCTTTCAGAGCAGGAGGATATCGATTTTAGAGTTGTCATAAACCAATTCGGCAATATAAAGAAAATGATATGGCAGCCTCTTTCCTTCCGAAACGTCACCGAAAATTCGAGACAGCGAGGCAGCTTCGTAAATATTCTGGAAACTTACGCAAAATAGCCGCGGCGCTGTTTTATTAAAGACGGTTGAAATTGTAGTTACAAATCCTTTGATTCAGAGATCTATTATCAAAGAGGCAGATAACTGCTATGGCTGCGTCAAGGATGAATTTGTTGGAACTGTTCAAAATCAAATTTCATGCTCGCCAGGTTGAGATCAATAAAAAGCCATAAATTCGCAGCGCTTTCCTTTGCAACCTAAGATCAGCCTTTTCATCACTGTTTTAAAAGTTATCGTATTTATTTAAATTTACCAAAAGCACGGATTTGTAACTGAAGCAGGCCCCATTCGTTTGCAGACGTTTTCGGGCGTTTTAGTATGGACAAGTGAAGAGGCTGGAAAAAAATTGTGTAGGCAGAAATATTTCGCTTCGTTTTCGCCGATATGCAAACGGAGAAACTTTTCAAAACGCACTAATGTGGTCAGGGCCTTATAAGGAAGTATGCATGCAAGCAGGTGATTACTTTTTGAAGAAGCCTGCTGGGTTTTGGAAGAATGGACCGAGCCATACAAGGTACGCCTTTTATTCTTCCCTTTCACTGCACTAAGCTCATTTAGCTCATGAGTCTCTACCTCTCTTCATGCGCCAATTAAAACAGATAAAATATTTATGCTGTTTTTTAAGCGAGACATCGATTGTAGAAGTTGTGTGGAAATAAATAAAACTTATTCGATGGTTTAACGTAAGATGGACACGAATATTTTGCGAGTTGCGTGATACTTTTCCGGGCCCTGATCTGAACTGCAGTTAGTTTTTAAGAGAGTGTCTCTGTAAGAGCGGTCCAGCCGATTTTGCTTGTAACACGGATTTCGCTCATTTCTTGTGTGTTGTAATACATTCATGTACCTATGCTAAAACTACAATCCGTTTGATCGGATCTCTTTATTTTTCAGAGTTTACGGAAATTAAATTTCACTCGAGCGAAGGCTTGTCGTGACACTTTTCAAGACTTTAATTTCATACAAATTTGGAGGACAATTTACAAAAAACTACGGAGCTCAGCAAAAAAAAAAATATCACAGCCATGTATATTAACTCTATCTTATCTATCGAGGCGACTTTCGTAAACATCACGTTTCAATCGAGGAAACAGGAAGACTTGAATGACACCTTATGGGTTCGCCTGAGTCACACCCGCCAAAACCGATCAAATTCAAGGTTAAGTTTTAACTTAACTGATCCAACTAGCATAGCTAGGAAGTAGGTGCCATAGAAAAGGTAACTACAGAAAAAAAATTTGCGGCCCGACCTTTACGAAAACTTTATAACTCCGTGAACTTACCTAATTTTCGGCAATCTCTAAGTTTGGCCGCCATTTTGAGGGACTTGTCAACATGAAGCGTAACCGATATAAATCAAGCAGGTAGATCTAAAACCGTCAGAAATACATACGAAAACAATTCCAATGAACTTTACTTTCAATTCAAGCGGCAAAATTTGAAATTGTTCGTTAAACTTATCATCCCCAGTGTTTGAAATGTTGGAAGAGATACATACAACTAGTGTTCGAATTCCCCTCGTCGATTCCACCGTAAGAAATAACCTGTGCCACCCAAGCTTCGACTCGAATGTGAAGTACGAATCAAATAATATAACTGCTTTATCTTCGCGGCAATATCACGCTGGTATTTTGATTTTCTGATCGACAAGAACGGTGATCAGGAATCGATCGGTATGTTTACCTCAAAAACATGACCACTGACCAGCCGCTGAGTGAAAATAGTTTAGCGCGGGGTGGGGTGGGTGGCGGGCTTATCGTCATTAGATATTCGAATACATATATACTTTAAAAGTTTTAGGACTAAACAGTGAGGGCATGCTTCGTGGTACAGACAACTTTTATATCATTCTCATAACTTTCTCCTTTAAATTAGAACTGGTATTAATAAATAGAGTTATCAATATATTTTTAACTGGGGTACCCATATGACCTTTTTGCTTGTCATATGTGGTATAAAATGAGGTGTCTTTTCCACCAGAACCTTTTATTTATGCCCAATTGCACGGAATGAAAACTATTCTTAGAATGTTTGTTCTAAGTCATTTTTTCTATTTGATTCATTTAGCTGACACGTTCTTTTAAGTTATGGCGCGTGCAGATTTTCTTTATCAAAAGTCGCGCGTGCAACACACCGGAATTGAAAATTCATCGTAAAATCGCACGAACCTTAGAATGAGTGTAGGCAACCTTGACTTCTGGCGAAATGAAGTGGATGGTTCAAAGGACCCCCTGAGATTTTTTTCAGGACTATGACTGAGATTTGTTTATAACTATGATAATCGTCATTATTAGCAGACGGTGCTTTTTACCAAGTGCTGTCATCATTATCGTTATCACGCCGGAAGAAGTATAAAGCCGGCACGTTGCCTTACCTAACTACAGAGAAAATTGTTCTCTCTTTTGCTCCCCTTGGATCCTGGAAACTGTTACTATTAAGACGATCAACAAGGAAGCCTTCATAATTACTGAAACTTTTGATTAACAGAATATAAGAAAAAATCTGTGGGGAGAGTAGTTCGCGTATCTTATAATCTGAACGATAGTTTTCAGTAAAACAAATACCACTTAATTCAATTTACCTCGTTTTTAACAGTGGCGTTTCTGGGGACCGTAGATTCTTCTCTGATTCTTCTTGTCTCAGCCAAGACTCACTTTCATCAACTTTTTTCTCGTGCTTCTTACGGCATGGGACACAGAGAGCTGAGGTATGCGATTGCAAATTTCTCAGTTGAAAGTAAGGCCCAATAGCATCCATCAGGAATTGAAAACCGACATGCACTGTTTACTTTTATTATTCTTAATCAAATAAGGGGTGTTTTAGTCTACAAATTTAATCATACTGGTTAATGAGAATCATACAAACTGAGGAAAACTGAACGCAAATAATTGTGAACCGTACGCATGAATAAGTGTATTGCGTCGTCAGGTGATTTGATCTTCTACAAAAACACTATTGATTATCAACCAAGCAACATTGTACATATTTCCATCTGCAATTAAAAGCACTTACACATAGATCTATGTTTTTTGAACGTGCTGTGTACTTAAGTACCCTTAATCTAATAAAGAGTTTCTTCTCTTTTCGAGCAGATATGTCACGAGACAAAAATAGATAACAGAAAATGTTACTGAAGACCATCTGAATCAACTGTAATAATAACTCCAAACAGCTTTTGAATGTCCTGAGACATATGCAAGGTAATTACATCTCTGCCTTCGATACGCTTCCTAACACCATCATGATAAGGATACTGACATGTTACCTTTGCACTTCTCCAAAACTTCCCCAAAATGTGGCGATGCCTATCGCAAATCCACATTTTTTGTTTATCCTCCTGAGCGAGGTGAAATAGGCCAGTCCTTGCCAAGATTAGTCCATTTTATTTAAGACCTCTTTAGACAGGTGACAGCTTATCAAATGATGTTTTACTTCATCATTGCATTCAGACAGTCGTACCAAACCACTTAAGTCACGCGATGAACCAAAGTTTTTTCCATCTTTGCTATTCAAAAAGCAGTCTTGAGATATAATGAACGTCTCGCTAACGAACGACTTCTTCCTGTACTTGTAATTGTTTCCAACGCGATACAAATTCGGAAGATCTAAAGGAACTCACTATAACTTTGTGTACTCGATACGATTTCAATTTCTGCTTCAAGGGAGAAGCCTACTTTAATTCGTGAGTGGTCAGTGGTTACGCTCGTGAGGTAAAGAATGGGTTTGTGACTTTTTCACTCAATTGAAAAGACTCGCGTCACTCTTATGAAATGGTCGAACGGAATACAGACTCCGAACAGTCTCATATTTTTCTTAAAGATAGTGAGGTCACGCATATCCTGTGAGCATGGAGAAGCCGCGAGACGCGAGACTCGTGTCTCGCGTCTTTGCCGCTCCAAGCTCTCAGAGTTGGGCAAAGACAAGACACGTTACTTCCGATGCGATACAAGAGGTTCAACGGTTATCTCGTTTATCTAAACACATTTATTTACGTGGTAAAGATTTGTTTGTAAATCTATGAATTGATGCTAGTCCTATTTGGAACGAAATGTATTTGAAAGAAAAAAGAATACTAAGTAAAACAAAAGTTGTCTGCAACACGAAGCATGCCTTCGCATTAAGACTGAGAGTCCCAATGCTTATCACGATACTTTAATGCACATGTTCGAATGTTCCCAAAAATCTTCTGATAATCTGCCCACACCCACCTCACACCCCGCCCCTCACCATTGAGCCGTACTGTTTTCACTCAGCGGCCGGTCAGCGATCATGTTTATGAGGTAAACATGCATGGCGATCGCTACCTGATCGCCATTCTTGTCGATCCGAATGTCAAAATACCAGCGTGATATTGCCTCGAAGATGAAGCAGTTGTGTTATTGATTTGTACTTCACATTCGACTCGAAGCTTGGGTGGCACAGTTTATTTTCTTACGGTGGAATCGACGAGGGGAATTCGAACACTAGTTGTAGTGTTTGAATTGTTGGAAGAAATGGTCGAATGGGGAAGGTAAGTCTAACGAAGAATTTCAAATTTTGCCGCTTGAATTGAAAGTAAAGTTTATTTGAACTACTTTCGTATGTATTTCCGACGGTTTTAGATCTACCTTGATTTCTATTGGTTACACTTCATGTTGACAAGTCCCTCAAAATGGCGGCCAAACTTAGAGATTGCCGAAAATTAGGTAAGTTCACGAAGTTATAAAGTTTTCGTAAAGGTCGGGCCGCAAAGTTTTTTTCTGTAGTTACCTTTTTTATGGCACCTACTTCCTAGCTATGCTAGTTGGATCAGTAAAGAACACCTCACTTTTTCAAAAATTTACCTTGAATTTGATCGGTTTTGGCGGGTGTGACTCAGGCGAACCCATAAGGTGTCATTCAAGTCTTCCTGTTTCCTTGATTGAAACGTGATGTTTACGGAAGTCGCCTCGATAGATAAGATAGAGTTAATATACATGGCTGTGATATTTGTTTTTTGCTGAGCTCCGTAGGTTTTTGTAAATTGTCCTCCAAAGTTGTATGAAATTAAAGTCTTGAAAAGTGTCACGACAAGCCTTCGCTCGAGTGAAATTTAATTTCCGTAAACTCTGAAAAATAAAGAGATCCGATCAAACGGACTGTGGTTTTAGTATAGGTACATGAATGTATTACAACACACAAGAAATGAGCGAAATCCGTGTCACAAGCAAAATCGACCAGACCGCTCTTACAGAGACACTCTCTAATGCTTTCACCAGCTTTTGTTGACCACAAGTGAACTGACAAAAGTGATACCGATAACTTAAGAGGAATTAAAGTTTTGTTGAAAGAGCATTTTGTCTGTAAAACTTGATATAGCCCAGTACAGTTGCGATGCATATAAATGAGTGAAAGACCTTCAATCAGTTTAATTTCCATCTCTCGAGGGAAATAAGAGCGTTCATTACTTTTGTTTCTACTTTTTTTTATCGTAAAATGGAATATCTGTATGGCGACCTATTTATATCCTGCTACTGAAGGCCATGATTACCCTTACAGAATATTCCAACAACAAAACTCAAACGGTATTAGTTGGTTCCGTTATTTCTGAAATGCATACAGTATTTTGTGGGGGTGCCTCAAGGATCAGTACTGGGGCCACTCCTTTTCCTTATTTATATAAATGACTTTCACAGTTTCCCAAAACTATTGGATTTTCACTTATTGCAGATGAAGCAAATTCATTTTTTAAGTATAAGGACCTTAACATACTTGAAAGTGAAATTAACAGTGAACTTGGAAAAGTACATATTTGGCTATTTGTAAATAAGCTTTCAGTAAATATTGAAAAATCAAATTTTGTTATTTTTCATCTAGTACAAAAACGAATTCCCAAAAAGGTTATGCTATTTATAAATGATCAATCATTAACAGAAGAAACTTCCATAAGATACCTTGGAGTTGATATAGATTCAAATATTATTTGGAAGACCCACATTACCTATGTTGCTAAATAAAATCAACAGAAGAGTAGGTATTCTCTCTAGGCTTTGTTACTTCCTATAGACAAAAACGTCGCTAAGCCTGTACTATACCTGAAGAGGGCCATTCTTGCGATGTATGAGTTTTTGAGCCTCTGCTGCAGCTGATGGTAGTGTCAGCAATGGACACTTTTCATAGATTTTAAGTCTCCTTACCAGTAAATTAAACTCATTAATATCTGAGTTTTCAACCACCGAATCACACCATTTATTGATCTAAAGACAATCGGTGCACAACTGATAAATCAAAATAGCACGAGTGTCAAAAAACCAATAGAGTCAATGTATTTACTTTTTTTTTCCCATTCGCACGCATCGCTGAGACATGAAGTCTTATTCCTACTCTTTTCAACGTATTTTAGTCTTACTTTTGGAGCCAACACTTTTTTCTGGAGCGAAATCGTAGCTTTTCCATGATCCGCTAGCACTTTAGAACCCAACCAAAATGGTAGGTACCCTTCCGTTACTTCAAGCAAAAAGTCTTCCCTGTTGAGTGTGCGTAGAACGAATAGATACACCTAACTGAGTGGTTTAACTTATAATACGCTCGGACATTTTGCGAGTTGCGCAGTATTTTGTCTCGCCCCTTCGGGGCTCGGTTAAATGCGTGCAATGAGCAAAATGTTCGTCGTATTATGAGTTAAACCATCCAATAATGGATTTAGTATTCCACTCTCATTTCATTTTTAGTCCTTTAGCTAGTTTTCGAACCTTCGTATGGTCTTATCTGAGCATCGCACCGATCGCATAGGGCGGGTGTAAAAGAGAAAAAGAACACAAATGACATCATTCTAGTGTTCCAAAAAAATTTGTTGTAGGCTTCGAAGTTCGTTTCTGAAAAGATCATGTCGATCACGCAGTGCTTGCTTACTTTTATTGCTGTTGTTAACTATAAACGTAACATAGATCAGAGACCGTGCATTTCAAACGTCCGAGTTAACGGGTATTAGTCAATCAAAACCGATGGCGGCAGAGCTGATCGATTGATATCGGTAACTGATGTCAACCGATGTTTATGACAATTGATAATCATCAAAGCTTGTGTGATCAATTGCCTATCGATTACCGATATCAATCGATTATTTGCCATCGATTATCATCGATTGTCATCGATCATCGATTTCATCAATTCTTAAGGCCCTGAGTAAAGGAACATTAATCAGTGAAACACAAGAAGACCTTCTTGTCCATAATTCTTTTTAAGACTTCAGGCAAGTAAGATAAATTCTAGTTTCAAGTGATTCCAAGTGAGTTGAAGTGAAGCATGAGTCGTGGCTGATGCCCTTTTCCACTATGCTTGTCGAAACGTCGGTCATTACTACCGACGATAGTCCCTCTCTAGAAACTAGTCATGCTTAAAATCAAATCTTGATAATCACGCAAGTATCCCGCCAAATACTCGAAACAGATTTAAAATTGTGTTTGTTCTTTGTTCTAGTACCATGAAAAAACATTCCTCTTGAAAATTTCTACACGAAACTCAGGGGCGATCTGCATTAGGAATGGCTTATGTCAGGTGAGTTGAATGTATTGTGAAACCATCTTTGATAATGATTTCCTGCTTGTCTGCAAAATTACAGCGTTGCTATGTCTCAGAAGCCGGCTGATTGTTTGCAGTATTACCGTTCAGAATACCTTAGGGGCACTAATGAATACATTGATGCACATAGTTCTTGATCTGTACGAAGCTTTACCAGATAGCATATGTAAGAACATGAAAAACAACGCCAAAAATTTGTCTTTTCAACAGATACAGCGACTATTGCTCTTGTTCCTTTACGGCAAGAGAGACCCACATGCCATGGTTTTTTATTGGACTCATTTACATCATATGCATAACATCAACTGATGCGATTTATTCTAATTACCACACCTTCGGAAAAATGGACGAGGTAAATGAAAATATACGCTGTGCTAGCATTTGCGAGGGGAGCTCCCTAGCGACAAGGCAGGGGATGCTCCCAGATAATGTCAACTAACCATCAGGACGTAGGCAATCTGGGTGTGGCTCAGGTCACCTTGCTGAATCCATAGATACTTCATTAAAGAAAACTTTGGAATAATAGTTGCCAGGAAATTAACTGTCCTAAGTCAAAAAAAAAAAACAAAAAAAATTGAAGGAGCATTCTCACCTTATGCATAAGGAAGCCCCCCCCTCCTCTCCTTAATATATGCGTTGAGTTATCAACATCCGTGAAACGGAACTGGTCATTTCAGAGAACTATTGGATAAATCTTCAACGCAGCCATTCTTTTGGATGTAATGCGACACTCCCCTGAAGAGCGACTGCAAGAGAGACTAATGGTAGATTGAGTGCTATCAAACCAAAATCAAAGTTATCCAAACGGGCAATTAGATCAACGACAAAAGTAATCAAACTCAGGCCTTTTTAAGATGAACACCTGTAAGTACTGACTTCACCCTTTTGGTCATGTGTGTCATTTTGCGAGCTAAGCACACGCAACGGGTAATATTTCAAATAATTTAAAAGTTCTGAAATACTTAAAGATCTTGACTTCCTGTTTTGTAGAAAGAAAAAGCAAGAGTGGTAGAGGAAATCTTAGAAAAAGAAAAACTTCCCTCTGACGATGAGAAACTGCAGTATAGGAAAGGTTGGGATGAGTTTAAACAGAAAATAGAAAAGTTAAGTTCCAATGCGCTAAAAACCGCCAGGAGACTCCGAAAAATAGCTGATAGACTTGATGAAGCGTGGTGGGAGCACAAGATAAAGTTCGCCTCTGCAAGCTTTGTGTTTGTAATAGGAGGAATTATAACACATAGGACTGGAAGTGTAACAGGTTTGGGTTTTGGAATTGCTGGAGCCGTAGTAAGTATAAAGGCTAGTGTCATAAAAGATTTCAAAGATTTAAAGGATTGCAAGGTGGCCAGAAAGCTCTTGGAGGAGACCAAAGACAACTTCATCGCCGTGATGAAAATTATCCACGCTAAATCCCATAAGGCGGCTAACGGTCAGGATTTGACGATTCTTCGTGAGATTACTAGTGCAACGAGAATCCCCATGGCAAAAGAAGCGGTAACTTTTCTCAAAAAAGCAGGGTTAGGTGCAAAAGAAGCAGCAAAGGCAGGAGCACAAGTTGCTGATGATGCAGTCCAAGTCGGCGCGAAAACCTTAACACTGGAAGTGGCAAAGCATGAAGCACAATTTGTTAATGACTTGGCGGAAACAGGTTGGAGAACAGTTGTAAATTCTCACAAGAACTTACTTGCTCCTCTTAACACTGCCCTTTTGTTTTTGGATGCCGTAGACCTCGGCTTCACCATCATGGATCTTGTTCAAAACAAAGGATCTGATGCGGCCAAAGATCTAAGAGAAAAAGCCAGGAAGATCGAGGATGCCTTTATACAGTAATTGGAACTTGTATTAATGGAACAGTTCAAACTCACTTCAACTGTTAAATGAAACAGTTCCTTCCAATTTTGAAACCTACTGATTTTTTTTCCACTGTACGGATTACGTAAAAACGAACGAATTTTTTGCATTTACGAAACTGTGAAGTAGATTCGGCATGTTTGAATCGCTGTGTAAGACCGATCTGATAAACTTAGATGGAACTTCTTGTCCTTTAGCAAATATTGCTCAAAAAGCTCTAGATGTATCAAACACAATATATTTGATACTTAAAATTATTCTTCTAACCGTACTAATATCTTTCGACCTTCAAAACCGAACGCAAAAACCTCGACTTCCCAAAATGCGAACTTCCCGCGTCCGCCATTTTGTTAGGTGGGCAAGGCTTTTTGACTTGATCACGTGTAATGCTTGCTTCGTTCTTTCGTATTTGGGGTTTTTCCCAGGTTTTCCCAGCAAAATGCCTCATTGCGTAGCTTTCGAGTGCGGTAATCAGGCTTAAACCGAGCGGGATCCCAAGTTTCCCAAAGACAATAGTAAACGACTTGCATCAATTCATGCTTTTGGAAGAACATCTCTTCCAAAAGGTTTCGTGTCTGTGTTTGGAACATTTCGAGGACCATTGCTTTTATGAATTAAACCTAATGTACGCACGGATAGCTATGTTTACAGGAGAATGACTGGATACACATCTGACAACAGAGGCCTAGCAACCATTAACGTCATTAACCCAAGATGCCTTGCGCACCTAACGAGAGGCGGATCAAATTCTTACAACAAATTCTCTTGTTGAAGGGAGACTGCAAAATAGCCAAGAAAGTATTCTCTCTCGAAAACAGCTCATGCTGCTGGAGCATCTAACGCAATTATTCCTCCTAGCTTTCAACTTAGAAGCAATTGTACTGTTTTAATCAGTAATGTCATTGTAAATACCCAAACATGACGGACTGATTCAATGGTGTACTTTTTTTTCGTTATAAGAGGATTTGTGTGACAGAACTTTAGAGGAGCGCTTTCTTAGAGAATTTTAATTTATCTAATGTCTCTTTTCTGGTTACCACTTAAGAATTTTCTCGGTAATTTACCCTCCTATATTGAAAATGATTATATATTATTCCACTCATTATAGAAGACAGAAAAGTGTTTTAAAATGTTGGCGGAAAAAGAGGGGCTGATGAATTGAGGTTATAACTAATCATAACTGCAAGTACTAAAGGCATGCAAATGAGTACCATTTATTTATCCGGAAGTACACTTTTCCCTTCCCTTTCTGTAGAAGTTTTCCAAATTAGCCCCTAGAGTCACAGTGTAAGCACGTGATGTTCACGAATTCCTGCCCCCTCATCCTTGAATTTGTCTTTACGGGATTTTTTCCTAAAAAGAAACACGTACCGACATGTTCTGATTGCTCAGGATAAGATCTGCATTTAAAAAAGTTTTTTTTACATGATGATTATTTGATGATTTACGAAGAGAGATAGAGTTGGCTCATGAAAATTACAGCTTCAACAATAAAGTGCTGTAATATGCGTTAAATGTGAAATGAAGCCATTTGAAATAAAGGATTGTTTATATTAGCCAAGCGTGCAAAAATTTTGAAATCAACACCGAAGTTGCACCATCAGCTTTTTGCATATCAAAAACTCGAAGAGAGAAACAAAACTCCTGCAACAAAGACGACTCAAATGTGACCATGTATTCACCATTTGCTTGAAAAAATAAATGGTTTGGTTACAATGAAACCATGCGAGGCCCAGAACTTTTTCTTCACGCTTTGGATCCGATACTTCCATCAACAGAGGTTCCAAGACTCGTTCATCCTAACGGCGTAGGTCTCTTGTCCTTTCTTTTTTAAATCGGTTACAAGCCAAAGATCCTACACTGATCCTGAGGAACCAAGCTGGATTCACGCATTATACATAATTGAAAAAAATGGAGATGACATGAAACCGTTACTCAGAGGAAAAGCCCACGAAGACAGTAGGTTTTATGCCAAATCCAACGCGTGAATTAAAAGTTTCGGATTGAAAATTCGAAAAATTGAGACAATTTAAATTTTTGAGCCTTGCCACGACCTTTCCAGAGTTGGTCCAGAGTTAGTCTAGAGTTAGTCGTTGAATATGTTATTGCTGTAGGTTAGGCATTGCGCAAAGTCCAAGTCAGTGGTGTGTTTCGTAAATCGATGATGTTCAGCAATGTGATTGTCGACGTCAGCTTTCCTCGTCGCTCGCTTGTGTTCAGTCGGTCTTGTTGCGAGCTTTCTTCCAGTTTCTCTGAGACAGGAAGCGTGGCAGTCGGAGCAATTGAACTTTATATTTTTTTTTAAGAAGTGGGTGAAGGCGGGGTGCAATGTTTGTTTTTCGGTGGTTCCTTGTCTTTCATGTTTGTTAGTGTTGCATTATGTAAGTGTTGTTGTTCTCCAACTGATGCCCTTTATGTACGGTATGGTCGCTGTGGTTGTAGCTTATTCGACGAGAACAAATACCTTAGCCGTGTTCTTTCGAAGAACAACTAAAACGGAAACTTCATCCGACGATGCACTCATCGACTTACAACTACCGAAACAAACGACACCGCAACTCTAATGACTACACTCACCCGGAAATTCAGTCAAAACCATCACACTTATATAATAGTTTTTCGCTGGTACTTAACCCACTTGGCGGTCCTTTGCAAGTCCTTTCACCTTAGCGGGTGATATCGAGAAAAATGTCGGAGAGTGTAGACGCTTTGTAATGTTCTCGTTTTTATGATAAGCAAAAAACTTTCTACGTTCAACAAAGGAGACTGGATAATCCTTGTCAATAATAACCAGGAATAACAAGATAAGTTTTTAAATTTTAATCCTTGCTGGAAAATAAATATCTACAATCAACATAGCATACGTCTATCTTAACTGTGAAAACAGCGACGTTATTGAATCGTCCCTTCGTTTCTGGGTTGTTATAATGAATATACATGTGATCTGCAATCATTACAAAACCTTTCAAAGGTGAAAAACTAAAGTTCTTTAAACTAGTGTTACCCACATCTCTTGCAGCGGTCTTTCTGGGCTTTTGACCGTTTTTATGTCATTTTGAAGTTATGTTTTGCTAAAAACTTTGAGAATTTCAAATTTGTAAAATGCAAAGCACTGATTGAGCATTTTTGTTTACATTCTTTGTTATTCAGTTACTTACAATGTTAGGTCTGTCAACTGGCCTCACGCATGCAGATTAACCCTTTAACTCTAGACGTGATTTACATGAAACTTCTCCCCATAACATCCATACATTAATCAGCAAACAGGTAATGAGAATATTCAATCTCATCAGGTAGAAGCTGCTATCTTGATCTAGCACCAACTTCTCATCACTAATTTACAAGGAAATGTTGAGCAGCTAAAGGGGAGAATTAACAATCAGTCTTGGGATTTAAAGGGTTAAAGATTCCTACATCATGTCAGCTTATGGGAGCTGACCAAGCCAGTATGTCTAGAGATAAAAACTCGAGCTATCCCAGCCTTAACTGACGCAGTTTTCAAGAAATGTCCGGGGAATCAAGAGAAATTCCAATCAATAAGATCTTAACGGAGAACATACCATACAATTGATGGAAACCTTCGCATATGGAAGGGAGATTACTTCTGACAATTTGGCGTAGACTCACCAGGACACCTTTGAAATATTCGGAACGGCTTACGAAATAAGTGGAAAACCTTCGAAAATGTCTGGACGGCTCGAACAGGACTGGGTTTATCGCAAAGTTCTCTATGCAGTTAGTACAAAAAAGCTTTGAAACTTAGTGACATTGATTCCATCATTTGTATCTCTTTACATGACTGTACGTTACTGATAGTGTTTTGTGTTTAAGTAATTTAAGAACATTTAATCACTATACTGAAACTGAGAGTCAATAATTGATTGTTTCTTATCTGAAAGAGTCGTATTTACGCCTATTCATCAGAGTTCCTTGCCTGTTTCACTCCTCCAGTAAATCCTCGAGTTGCTTTGCCTTCCTCCTCAAATCTTTTGCTGCCTCAGATCCTTTGTTTTTAACAAGATCTCTGACCGTGAATCCAAGGTCTATGCAATCCACCATCAGGAATGCAATGTTGGCTGCAATCAAGACTTTACCAGCATATTTCCCTGCCGACTTGGACCCTGCTTTGGCACCTGCTTGTGCCACGTCATCAGAAGCCTGCAGTCCTGCTTTTCCCACTTGAGCCATGTCATCAGCCACTTGCAATCCTGTCTTTCCTGCTTGTGCTGCATCATCAGCTAGTTGGGCTATTCCTTTGCCCCCCTGTTCACCAACTTCTGTCAAGAGTTTTGCTCCGGCCTTTGACAAGGCTGCAGATAAACTTTTCAGTATGTTGATGGAGATCCCGAAGGCAGTGGATACCATATCATGAAGCAGGTTCAGTAGGATGGGGTCAACAAACTCGAAGGCTTCTGCAAGGTACAAAATGTAAACAATTCTCGCCTTCTCTTTCTTATCCAGCCAACTCTGTACAGTCGTAGTAAGATCGTTGATGCTTTCTAAAGCTTCCCCCCAGAGTTTTTCAGCCTTCTTGATTGCAGAGGAGTTTATGGAGGCCTCTACACAGCTTGTCCCGATATTTGTGACAGCCCCGCCGACTCCAAAACCCAGTCCAGCCAACAGAAATGGCGTGGCAGCACCCCCCGTCATTACTGTTACACCTGCAAGGGCGAGGCAACCCGAAATAATTCCACCAGTTGTTCCAGCAGCGTGTGCTATCTTACAGTCCCGCCATACTTGATCCAGTTTATCAGCCGCTGCACGAAAACTGTCTGCGGTTATTTGGATTTTGACACGCGCATCCACCGTCTTCATTTGAAGGTCATGTAGACCACTCCAGCATTGTTGCCTTTCAGCGTCAGACAACTCATTTATCCCTCTGACGGCATCCTCCATATTGCTGTCTATTCTTGCGTTCATTCTGAAAGCAAAGTTTCCTTTATATGATCATTCAGAATTATTATAACTTTAACCCCAAAGAGTGACTAGCATCTAGTTTCTCCACACAATATCACTCTTGAATCAACCATGAAGGTTACAGTAAAAAACGAAATGATCACCAAGCAAAGAAGCTTTTAAATTTTAAACAAATTCTCCTTGTCAGTACCCCTAGGAATATATAGAGAACAGTATGGAGAATATTCATATTTGAGCAGGGGACAAAGAACGCGCCTTCACAACACAAGGGTTCTTGAACACAAGGTTTAATAATCGAGAGTTGCACACTCAACATATTTTCTTAACAACACAACAGGATCGGAATTGGAGTCTCATCTTTGGCTAAGAAGCTTCACCTCGCAAGTAAAAACCTACAAAATAAACACTTAATCACTGTTGGAACGGGATTTGGAAATACACGAGCTCCTAAGACTCACCATACGATGAGAAACTCCCCGCGACTAGCGCGTTACAAAGCACATGGTTTCTTTCTCGCTACACGACGACACTGAGACGCGCTCACTAAGCATGCTGGGAGTATAATTACAAAAATAGAATGGAACGGACTTAGGAAAACAAAATTGTTCTCTTGTTGAGGATTGGCCTCAACAATATTGATATTTGGGTGTTTAAGGTTAACACATGTTTTCTGTAGATTCACTGAGAAAGGCATAACTTTCCATAAAACGAGCACTTATCATGATAAGGATCCTGAAACCATAAACCATAAGCTCACTTCGGTAGCTGCTCCAAAAGAATTTCCCAGAAAACGAAAAATTTCCCAGACGACATAAATTTATCAAGCGGAATCCTTGGGAAACTTGTTAAGTATCGCGAATTTTATTTTTTGCAGGCAACTAGAATTTATCAGTAAAGAGGTAATTAATTTTTGAAAATTCAGAATGAACTTTGACCATCAGCTCTTGAGGCGTTAGATGTTTCTTAGAAATTCCTTGACCGTATCATAACTGATTATTAATATTCATTGCTTTCCCAGAAATGACAGTGTGTAGAATACAAACATATCTTCGTCACAGAACCAGTGTTTATATATTTTACTAGGGAATAGTCCAACGAAAATGTTTCCACATTCTGTACAATTTTTTGTACCAGAAAACTGTGCATTCTGAAGTGAACCCCCCTTTCTTTTGGGGATGTTGGCAGAAGGCGAAAAAAGCAGAGAGATCGAGAGCCGGAGGCGAGCGATTTACAAACTTTTCTCGGTAATTATGAAGATAATTTTTTAAACGATGATGTTCATCCAATCAAACCATCTAGTCTATCTGTTACAGAGTTAGTAGATATGGGGGCTTTCCCCACGACTGAGCTACGCGTTTGTTTTGGTCGTGCCCCGATCTTTTCATAAACACACCAGCTATGTAAATGGAACCTATCAGATATCTTACTCTTGTACACGTGATATTTACTAAACAATTTTGCTTCGATCACCCCCACAGAAATTCGGGTGGAAAATTACCAAACTATCGCAAAATTTGCATTTGGTTTACGCTTTTAACTCCGTTAGTAGAAACAGTTTAGCGTCAATAATTCTCAAACAATTCCTTGAACGTTTTCATGCTCGGACTGCCTCCCAGAAACAATTACAGATGGAAACAGGTATGAAGGTTAATTTGATCGAGTAAATGGCAAATGAACCGTCTCACTTTACAAGCAAAGAGCTTATCCTATAAGATCAAAGCCACGTCACGCACCAAAGAATAACACTAATGCATTTTGAAAAAATGGCCATGTATATCAGGTAATGAAACGGTCAAAAGTGCTACACTGTTTTTGGCGAAGTCCATGAGCTACATGAAACACCATTCCCATCGACAGTGAGTCGACATTGCTCCTACTACTTTAATGATTCCTCAAAATTTACGAAACGGCAGTTAACAGAAGTATGGATGATCGAATACTTTCTAAGTTGAATACAAACAAAGACTTGAATGGCGGTGGCAATTGAGTTCAACGATAATCCACCAACAATTTATAATGCTAGATAGATTGCTAGGATAGAATCACCTCTTGTATAATATCCACGACGGAGTTTCAAATAAACATTTTCCCTTGTCCAAGTGCTTAAGCAACAAAGAATCGTCAAAGAGTATGCAAATAAGACAAAAACAATTCTGAAAATAACTCTGCAGTGAAACCGCTCGGTTGCGTCTCGTGGTTTCATTGTAGGCGTCATTTCTGGGATCAATAAGATTAGAGAAAATGGAAAATTGTGGTAAATTTGTTAAATAGCATTACTTCGATCGGATCCGTCGAATATGATGTTTAACTGTCTCGTTCTTAAAGCACAATAAAACCAAATCATAACTACTGCGAGCCTCTCGGTTGCATATCACAGATAAATCCGTTGAACATGATGTGTTTCTGTATTCAGGCGAATACGTAGCAGTATTTCATAGCAAAATATTTATTTATCAAAGAATTGAGGAGGTAAAATAGCGCTGAATATAAAATACTTTCATAAACTGAAATAATGTTTTATCAGTTACCTTTCGCGCACCGGCCGATCGCAAACGTCGGAGGTTTATTCGAAGAAAATTAATCGTTTCACTGTACTCTATCAATCACTGCGTCAACCATTTCAAAATCAAACAAACAAACCTCGTGATAAATCAGGCCTTGCTCAACTCATGATCAGCTTCTTCAAACGAACTCGCCGGCTGTTGGAGGAGTAACCCGCTTCCTCGCTACATAGTGAAGTCAATTAATAGATCTGTCGAGACAACAGCGTCACACAAACAAAGCCTTTGATTGGTCCACTAATTATAGAATTCCTAGAATAGGGGCTTTCCCCGTATTCAATGCGGTGTTTGCTTCGATCTTACCTCGACTTTTTAAGAACACAATGGGAATGAAAATAACACTTATCAGATATCTTTGTGGGAAATGTCCCTCGTGCATGTGATGAGGGTTTACTATGACCGGTCTGCCGCTTGAGGAGTTACCCCTACGTCGAAAATAACACCATTGCAACCAAATAAGTTAACTTAAAGCTTCCAGATGGCGGCAATCAGATACTCCTTTGTTGACACAGACAAGCTTCGCTGATTAGTTCACTTTTTATAGTTGTCTATTAATGGAAACAGGGACTTTCCCTTCTGTAAACAATAGCTTACTGTTTTGATGACGTCGTGGAAGCAGTCGGTAAGGATCAACTGGCGTTTGATGAACAAAGGTGCCTTGTGACCGGGTGTCCAAAGTCCCTGTGATCGATGCAGTAGTCTTCGTTAAGTCTCAATTTAAACTTTTGTGAAAGATTACGGATAGAAATGCTCCTTTGAACGCATGTTCAGTGTTATGCTAAAATGCTGTATTCCGCTCGAGATGATGAAGTGATTCAAAATTAAAGATTGTTTTTATCAATCAGGCGTGTTGAAGAATTTGAAATCATTCCAGCGTCGGGATTGCGTCATCAAAGGTCATAACAAACCTTTTTTTAAAATCTTAATCTTTTGCTGTGTGCTCTAAATCGGAGAAAGAGGCATCCATATTCTTCTGGAGAAACGGTAAAATTATATATAGAGCTCTTTTTGCGAGAAATTTATCTTCTGTCTCTGATCCTCGACCTCTCATATCCTCAGATTCTTTCACTTAGGATTGTTACTTTTCATGTATTACGATATTTATTTGCCTCCGCCGGGTATTTTTTTATGTCACTAGTATTAGAGAGTAGAAAATGGAAAAAGAAATTAGATGAATGTATAAAATCGGGTTCTGATTGTTTCATCATTCTTCTGTTGCGTGCAACGCAAATGCAAAGTGAGAGAGAAGCCACCCATTCTTATTTCGTACATCGTTTCAACCTCGATCCCAGGATCTCTCCTCTTCTCGCTCTCCAAAAAGAGAGTCTAGCTCATGCATTCTTGACTTATTACTGCATAAATTTTATTCACGGTCTACATTGTAAATCGTTGAGTGGAGCAAAACTTTGACAACAAATTTGATATAAACTCTGTGATCCTGTCACAATGATTGTGCTAGTTAAGAAAAAGTAAATGGTATTGATTAAGCAATTGGACTCCACAAAGGGAAATGTCACTATAGGCCGCTGGATATAACCTCCACGACTATGCCTTGTCAAGTCATGGAATACACTGGATAACGGCGGCTGCTGTTTTTCTTTGTTATGTTCGTTTATTTTTCGAATAAGCCACAGCATACATTTTCATTGAAACAAACAGAATCTAAAAGCAAAACTTACACTTTTTAATCACAAAATTTAATTCTACGGCCAGTGAATTTTTCTAAGTAGTGGTACCATTAAGTAGGTACGTCAGAGTAAGTCTTTCCTTACTGTTTACTTACAGCTCTGGAATACAACAGTACTCTGACTTATCATGTATGGCACTGGATTACTACAGTACTGTTGTTTCCCATAGTGATGTCAACAAACGGCTATGGAACCAGTAAAATATAGCTTCCTTTTCAATAAGAAGTTCAGTACTCATTTTAGGTCATTGTTTTTTTCCCTCAGGCTTGGCAAAATTTTAGGCGCCAAATGTGCCAAGTCACACCACGGTGCGTTTTTATTCTGGATTCTTTCAAATCTTCTTAAGCTCCCAAATTTTAATAATCAAAGCGTATGCGGCGCCAGATCCTATTTTTTTAAAAGAAATCTTTGATTGTCAAGCTCAGACGTAAACCGTCCTGCATCATGAATACAGCTTCGATCATCTTTTTACCAATAATTTGGCTGCCCACTTTGGTGCTATTTTGTAAAAACAATATGTCACTTTCTTTCCAGCTGCTCGTGAAAATGCCTTTTCGCCTTGTTCATCTAAATTTGTATGATTTCCAACACCAATTCTCTTATACAACTTGTTTAATCATGAGATTTAGAATCACTTTATCAAAAACTTTATCCACTATGCAAATAAAGGTCAATTGACGGCCAGGAGCCTCAGTGAAAACAAATATCGGAATCACACGGCAAAGTGCATTTTCTGAGATGAAAAGCTTGTTATCAAAATTTAATGCAGAAGTAAATGACAAACTTAAGTAAAGTAAATTATACGTATCGATTGAGTCTGGTGCCTATTGGCTGAAGTTAGACAAAAAAAAACACCGACATTTCAACTTGTTATTTAGATTGACATGTAAGAAAGCGTTTCTTTTGAAAGACGAATCAAACACTGGACATTTTGCTAAAAGGTCGAGAGGGATACACGAAAGACCTTTCACAGACGGAAATTACAGTATTACATCCCACTATTTGATTTACTAAGTGACGCGGGTTGCATTTAACGGAAAGAAACTTGAAACCAGACAGGTAGCCATAAAATAAAAAAGAGTGCACCGAAAGAAATATCGCTCTCCGACACAATCCCTAGTAGATGATGCCTATGAAGGTGTGTTTTGTGGTGACGTTGTGCCTCGTTGAAGCGTTCACATTCACCGCTCATAACAAAGCAGCCTTAATTGGTTTTGCTTACAAGACGATCAAAGACGTTGACTGGTTTTCTTGTATTGTTACTTGCCAAGAAGATCTCTCCTACATTTCATACAATTTCTGCGTAGCGGAACACCGCCATTACATCGGTACTTGTTCTCTCAATAACTGCAGCCTTGACGACCCCTGTTCTAACGAAGCTATCTTGATTTGGGTTCCCGATTGCACTTTTCATCAGCTTGAACAAATCCAGGTTTGAGAATTATTAAATCATCAAGGAACAGAAGTAATGTTACCATCTTTTTATAATGTTGTTGTTGTTTTTTTTTTTTGCGTATCGTGCATCTGCTAACATCTTCAATTTGGATGGACGCTTGAACGTAAATTTAGATGCAACAATCTTAGAAATTAAAAAAAAATTAAAAAATTAAAAAAATTAAAAAATTATGGGCCGCTCTGTGGTCAATGTAGGAAGAAATTTAGCTTAAGTGAAGGACGAGACAAAAAAAATACAACAAACGCTTCATCACTTTTTATCGTTTCTTAGTCGAGTTCAAATTTATCTTAGGCATGATCGACTTGAAATTTCTTTTTAACATATTTTTTGTTTGCAGAGTAGAAAAACAAGATGCGACCATAAAAGACTGCATCCTGGCAAGGAAACAGGCTGGACGTTTATTTTTCGCTAACTTACTCCATGACTCATAAAGAACCTTACACATACGAGAAGACCTTTTACGCTTAAAACATTTTCCTCCTTGCAGGAGTTGTCAAAGCGAGTTTAAGCTGCAAAGACAAAATGCAGATTTATGTGGATGGCAATGAGGAGACTGATATGATCGACTATAAAAAAGTTGATCAGTCGAGGGTCTTTAGTTTGTCCATTTAAGCAACAGCGCGACTCATCGCCATTGCAGTAGAAAGCAGTGGCGTGCCTTATATCACCGGCTCGTTCAGTGATGGCAAAGTCACCAACTCCAGCTGGAAATGTACATCAGGTGCTGAACTCGATTGGAAGAGACCAGAATTTAATCACTCACTGTGGAAAAGTGCAGTAGAGCTCAATTGTGGTAGAGAAAGAGATAGGGGATACCAAATAAATGAAATCCAGCGTCATGGCGCAAAATGGATCACAAGTGCAGATGATGGACAGCAAAATATGTATTGTAAATTGAATCGCTTCGTTTGATGCGTTCCGTAATCCCGTACCCAGATCCTACCGTGTAACCGGGACTGAAATGTAGGAAGATCTGGGTACGAGACTACGCGTTCCTAACTTTGTGAAATTAACATATCTGAATTTTTTAGCTTTGCGTAAAGATTTGAATAAAATTAGAGTATTTTTTATAATTCCTGGTGTTCCAATCTCTGAAGAGAAATAACCCTTAAAATGGGTACGCCTTTCATCGCTTTCTACCCATCCGTTGTCAATATATGCAGTCATAGAGAACACCGGCTTCTTCTAGGAACAAGCTCAGCGGGCCTCAAATGACTGTCACCGGGGGAAACAAGGTGGAAATGTTCCATGAAGGTGGGGCCCCCAAAAAAGCCGAGGCAAACGAGAGAAAAATTATTAAAATTTTGATGGGATATGAGCAGGCATGTCCTGACCACGTGATCGCCTCTATTGTAGTGGGGACTATCGTGGCCCAGATGCCTACCACTTAGAACATTTCATGAAAATTTGTTAAGCTGCCTCGCAAAATAGCCAACGACTCGTTGTCTGATAAAGTCAAAGAATTTTAAATGAATTTGGACTGTGCATCATGAATGCATAAAACCGAAAAAGTAGGGCCCGCAATTATATCAGAATCCGAGTTCCAAACGTTCCTCACAAGGGTCATTGCGTTCGGGTATTTAGGGATTTCTTTGAAGCTGAGCCGCTGTCCCTCACTAAACTGGGAACGTAAATAGAAAATGAAAATAGTCTTTCTTCATCACTGAAAGGAAAGCATCAGAATAATTTTGCCTTACATGCAGGCGTCAACCCAAAAGACCCCAGAAGTTACTCACTTTAAAATATGTAATTATTTTATTACACTCCTTTTCACTGTATACATCAACATTAAACATCCTTTTCTTATCTCTCTGAAAATCTAAAGAGGCCAGATAAAAAAGAAAACTTCTTAAACGCCATTAATGCAGTCCTAAGATGTAACTTCCTCATATAAAATGGCCAAATGCAACTAGGCGCACGATGAAAAATGTTCACGCCAACGCAGATCGATGTTGTCTTTATCGTTGAAAATCATTTCGAACTCTTCCCTTTTGCCGATATTTATTGCTTCATGGCATTCTCAAGTTTTTCTGCCTTTTGTCTCAGAACTTTTGCAGCTTCAGATCCCTTGTTTTCAACGAGATCCCTAATGGTGAAGCCAAGTTCTATGGTATCCCACACTACGAATACAACATTGACTCCAATGATGACTTTACCGACAACTTTACCAACTACCTTAGAGCCCGCTTTAGCCCCTGCTTGGACTACGTCATCAGCAGCTTGTGCTCCAGTCTGACCCGTTGCTCGTAACACATCGTCAACAGATTGCAAAACTGCCTTTCCCGCTCCTTGAGCACCAGTCTGGGTTGCAGCTTTCGCACCAGCCTGACTCGCTGCCTGTGCACAGGCCATTACCTTTTCTGCTACTTGTATTACCAGTTTGGTAGGTGTCCCCCCGGAGAGAAACACCAGCTCACGAAGGATCTTCAAGAACACAGGACCTCCCAACTTTAGGGTTTTGGCAAGGAAATAAATGTAGATAAGTCTTACTCTTTCTTTGGTGATCAAAATCTTTTGGACAGTCCTGTTTACCTCGTCAATACTGTCCACAGTCTTAGCCAATTTTTCTTCGGCCTTTTTCATTTCATTTGAGTTTATAAAAGAGTTGACGGCGGCTGTCCCTAACTTTGTAGTTAATCCAGCGCCTCCAAGAGACAATCCTGCTATCAACAATGGAGAAGCAGCCCCCGCTGTCATCAATGTTGCAATTCCTCCACCGATTGAAAGAAGGCCTCCCACTATTCCAACGCCGATTCCAACAGCATGAGATATCTTGCAGTCCCTCCACACGCCGTCTAGTTTCTTAGCCACTGTACGGAGGCTCCTAATGATCTCTTTTGCGTTGGAAATCATCTCCTCTGTTTTCTTTTGAAGCTCTGTTAAATCTCTCATATCTTGCTGCTTTTCATCTTCAGTCAAAAGGTTGATCTCGTCAACGAAATACTTTAAGTCAGGGTCCGTTCTTAAACGTTCTCTCTACAATTAAACATTCAGACTATTAATTCATAAACTGTTGGGGAAAGATGACTCAGTCGTTCATTGTTAATATTGTAAGCCACTTGTGCGCGTTATTGAATGGTCAAATCATGGACAGGGACAGTGCGAGCAAATCATCTCTATCCTTGTAAATGGCGTTTTCAAAAAGTAGTACGCTTTAACAGTACTTATTCCCCCTTCTCATTTTTGGTGGCTTGTCTTTGAATTTGTACCATGAGCTCGGAAATGCACCTCTAAGACTTGCAAAGGAGAATGCAATCATTCTCATTCGCAAGTTGGAGTATGTTGACTTCACTCTTTCCCTAAGGAAAGGGCTTTTTGGTGAGTATTGCAACGTCTTTCAGAGGCTTTAATAGTTCCAATCTCCGCGCGGCGTTGGCCTATTCAAGTGGCGATCTCTGTAAGAGCAGTCGGGAGCATTTCGCATCGGAACAAAGTTTTGCTTCAAACTTTGCCCATCAAGCTATCAGCTAGCAAGCTTCTCCAGCTTTTTTAACAAATTCATATTTTTCAGGAAAGAAGTACTTTTCCCAGGCCCAACTTGGGATTCCAAATATGAAATCCTGAGCATTTGTACAGCATCGGCGAGACTTTCAATGCATAGTTCTGAAATGTTCATGTATGTCTGAATGGTCAAAGCTCTCTAAAAAGGAATAACTTTGACGAGTGTTTTTAAATGAATTACATCGAACCTCTCAATAAACACATATCAAAATTGAAATGCTTTCCAAACCCCTGAGATATCACACAACTTAGGAATATACACAATTTCTTGCTACATGCGGTTTGTTACGAGGGGCGAGCTTGTCAACTTTGAAATTTTCGATGTCGCAAGAGATCAACATTGGGCCTTTTGCAGCTTTGATTATCGTGAGCCCTAAAAATTTTATTTTAACGTATTTCCAGAAACCAATGTGGTTTTATTGCCTTACTACCAAAGATGGTTTGATGGACAGTTGAGGGAAAACTATGTTCCGATGCGAAATGCCCTCAGTTTTCGCCCCCAATTAGTCAATTTTTCAAGGAGTGTGTCTGTATGTCGTTTCATACATGTATCCTAACTGTCGGGTACGTTCTAACGGTCCTTTCGTCGTTCAATTTTCATTTACCTTGGTTGCTATCATTGCAAATTACTATTAGATTAGGTTACCTCTTGATGTATTTTCGAAACCACCTGTCATTTTAATTGAAAAATTCTGAAAATCTACCAGTACGTTTGCTACAGTGAGCAAGCAAGCAAGCAGAAAAATATGTTTTCCTTTCTAAGGAGCAGTTGAAAGCTGTTATATCATCACTCTGTAATTATAATTATAAGCTAAAGATTGATAAGATACTTTTTGACTTACCTCCTCCCTGTCAGATAGCCTTGACGGTTTGTTTTTGGCCATTTTATCCATTAGTACTGATCCTGTGGAAGGTAAGGTAAACCTGGAAAAACGAGTTTAGAAGAATCAGGCTTGAACTGTGATACGCTGTGTCTCTTAATCTATTTATAAGGAGCTCGGGGAGAGTACATAAGGACTTAAAATCCTTCGTTAAAAATTTTATCAGGTTCCTACGTGATCCACGGGAAAGAGGGACCCTCTGAAATGTGCACTGTTATCTAAGTGTGGCTTCGTAGCTCAGATGATAGTAATGCATGACTATAATTGGAAAGCACGGGTTCGAATCCCTTCGAAGCCTGATAATTATTTAGGCTTTTTTTCTTGCATCTCAGGTGCAAAATGATCACAGTTTGTTGTTATACAGCTATCATTATTAGCAAAATGTTTGAGTATTAAATTACTAGGACGGTTTTAAGAAACGATGAATGGCCATAGTGGCACAATATTTTGGGGAATTATCTTAAAACCAGTTACTACGATGAATAATTTACCAGCCTGCTGGAACTGAGATTAGACAATTCCCTTATTTTCTAGAGTTCACTCTGAATTAATAAAAAAGAAAATACACAGGTGTCTTGGGAGGTAAAATGGAAGTACAAAAAATGATAAGAAGAAAAAGACAGCCTCGAAGCCAATCTTTCGAATAAAGCGGCACTACGGTTATCAATAAATTCACTCGGTTTCGTCGAATTCATTAAGTAAATATTTAGGTCGCTGGTGAAGAATCGAAGAGTAACGTGATACCCAAGAAGGGTTCCTTGGTGTTGAAAGAGTGTGAGGAATAAAAGGCACTTTGGTATTTGACAAAATTTTTCTATCTATTTATGGATATAACAGTTTTTAGAGCAACTATATCAATCTCAGTTGATTACTTACGATGTTACATAGAGAAACAAAACAAAGAGCAGGATTTTCTAGCGGGAAGCAGTTCAGTTAATCAAAAACAGGTCGCAGGACAAAGCCGGCTCAAAGCTTAAAAGGCCACGCACCTTTTGAGAGGACTTGATGTGGCAAGCTTCAGATTCGCAGTTTTAGCACGACATTCCTGTTTTACTGATTGCGTTATGGTTCTCTTTTTTATAATTGATAATTGGTGGAAACAGGGACTTTCCCTATTAGAAACATTAGATCAGATGTCTTTTAGGGAAAAAATCCCTTGTACACGTAATTTTTGTTGGATCACCCCACAGAAATTCGGGTGGAAAATTACAAAACTACCGCAAAATTCGCATTTAATTCACGCTTTTAACTCCGTCAATAGAGACAGTTTAGTGTCAATAATTCTCAACCAATTCCTTGAACGTTTTCATGCTTGGACTGTCTTCCAGAAACAATTACAGATAAAAACAGATACGAAGGTTAATTTGAGTGTACAGCAAATCAATCTCAGTCCGCCGTATGATTTTCGTCTCATTTTACAAGCAAAGAGCTCGTCTTACTAATTAAAAGCCATGTCACGCACTAAAAATAACACTAATGCATTCTGAGTAATTTCCATGAATATCAGGTAATAAAACGATCAGAAGTGCCACGCTGTTTTTGGCGAAGTCCAAGAGCTACATGAAATACCATTCCCATCTACACTGAATCGACACTGCTTCTACCATTTTTATCACTTCTCAAAATTTACGAAACGGTTAACAGAATTAAGGATGATCGAATACTATTCGAGTTGAATACAAACAGAGACTTTAATGGTAGTGGCAATTGCGTTCATCGGTAATTCATCAACAATTTATAATGCAAGAAACAGATAAAATTAGTTCTTGCATAATATCCATGACGGACTTTAAAACTAAACATTTCCCCTTGTCCGAGTGCTTAATCAACAAAGAATCATTAAGGACCATATATCATTTGTCTGTCAAGGCAAAAAAGAGGAAAAAAACTCGGAAAATAACCCTGCAGTGAAACTATTCGGTTGCGCCTCGTGGTTTCACTTTAGTTTTGAACATTGCATACGTCATTTCTATCATCAATTCGATTAGAGAAAATGGAAAATTGTCAGATAAAATAAGTTCGATCGGATCCGTCGAATATGCTGGGTAACTGTCTCGCTCTTAAGCACAATAAAACAACTTGAAATCATAACTACCGTCAGCTTCTTGGTTGCATATCACAGATAAATCCGTAGAACATGATGTGTTTGGTGTTTAGGCGAATAAGTGGCAGTCTTCTATAACATAATATTTATACATCGAAGCCATCAGTCTACGAAGATCAAGCTTAGCTTATAAAATCATTTCCCGAACCTCTCGACTACCGTCTTACATAACGAACGGAAACAAACTGATGGCCTCCCAAAGAAAGCAACTCTTAACGATAAACGGACTGCAAGAAATATTTCAAGGCTGAAAAACCATACCCAATTTTAAAAGAATTGAGGAGGTAAAATAGCGCTGAATATAAAATACCTTCGTAAACTAAAATAGTGTTTGACCACTTACCTTTCGAGCTGCTCCAAAAGAATTTCCCAGAAAACGAAAAATTTCCCAGATGACATGAATTTATCAAGCGGAATCCTTGGGAAACTTGTTAAGTATCGCGGATTTTATTTTTTGCAGGAAACTATAATTTATCAGTAAAGAGGTAGTTAATTTTTGAAAATTCAGAATGAACTTTGACCATCAGCTCTTGAGGCGTTAGATGTTTCTTAGAAATTCCTTGACCGTATCATAACTGATTATCAATATTCACTGCTTTCCCAGAAATTACAGTGTGTAGAATACAAACATATCTTCGTCACAGAACCAGTGTTTATATATTTTACTAGGGAATAGTCCAACGAAAATGTTTCCACATTCTGTACAATTTTTTTACCAGAAAACTGTGCATTCTGAAGTGAACCCCCCTTTCTTTTGGGGATGTTGGCAGAAGGCAAAAAAAGTAGAGAGATCGAGAGCCGGAGGCGAGCGATTTACAAACTTTTCTCAGTAATTATGAAGATAATTTTTTAAACGATGATGTTCATCCAATAAAACCATCTAGTCTATCTGTTACAGAGTTAGTAGATATGGGGGCTTTCCCCACGACTGAGCTACGCGTTTGTTTTGGTCGTGCCCTGATCTTTTCATAAACACACCAGCTATGCAAAGGAAACCTATCAGATATCTAACTCTTGTATACGTGATATTTTCTAAACCATTTTGGTTAGATCACCCCACAGAAATTCGGGAAAACGTTTAGCGTTAATAATTCTCAACAATTCCTTGAACGTTTTCATGCTCAGACTGTCTTCCAGAAACAATTAAAGGTGGAAACGGATACGAAGGTTCATTTGATCGAGTTAATAATGGCAAATGAACCTTTACCTTTACAAGCAAAGAGCTCATCCTACAAGGTCAAAGCCACGTCACGCACCAAAGAATAACACTAATGCATTTTGAAAAAATGGCCACGTATATCAGGTAATGAAACGATCAAAAGTGCTACACTGTTTTTGGCGAAGTCCATGAGCTACATGAAACACCATTCCCATCGACAGTGAGTCGACACTGCTTCTACTATTTTTATGATTCCTCAAAATTTACGAAACAGTTTACAGAATTATGGATGATCGTATACTTTCTAAGTTGAATACAAACAAAG